TGGTATATTCCTTATTATGGGTAGTTGTGGATTTAAATCATCCGGAATACCCTCCACTGAAGGAGCTCCTGGGGACCTTCCCAGGGCCTGCGGCTTCAAGCGAACCCCGGGAGGCTGAAGCTGTACAAGCGGCCACTTGCCCGCGTTGGGGTTCCGGGGTACAAGGGTTCAGAGTCTGAACTGGCATTCGGGGCTTCGGGTTTAGGGAGCTAGCATGCTGAAGATAATTCGTGGAGCTGGTGGCGCTGGCGCTGCTCGCGATGGTGATGCTGGTGGTAGCAGAGGCGGTGGTGGTTGTGCTGGTGGTGCTCGTGCTGCTCGTCTTGCTGCTCGTCTTGTTGGTGCTGCTGACGCCGCTGGTGCTGCTGCTGGTGCTCCTTGCACTGGTAACGCCGGTGATGGTGGCGGTGGTACTGGTAATGATGGTGGTGGAGAAGACTGACAATGATGATGACGATGAGGGTGATGAGGAGGAGGATGATGATGAGGAGGACTAGGACCATTACGAAGACGATGATGATGATGATCATCATCATCATGATGATGATGATGATGATGATGACGATGACGATGACGGTGATGACCGTGATGACCGTGATGACGGTGATGATGATGACGATGATGATGATGATAATGATGGTGATGATGATAATGATGCTTTGCATGTCAATGCCTCATTTCCGTGAAACAGCATTCCCCAAGCAGGACACAATGACACTGCATGTTGGGCGCATTCCAGATTCGCAGGCATTCAGGTCTGTGTACGCAGGCACATGAGAAAGCAGATGTTGGTAATATGCTGTAGCGCAATCGGGGGCATTTCTGCACAAGCGTGCCGCAGAATTTGAATTCAAATGCTCTCGCTGGAATCCCTCCGGCAGTTTCATGCTCATGGCTTTCACCAACTTCACCACCAAGTAAGGAACAGTTATCAAATTTTGCCAAAGCAATAAGATCAAAGGCTCAAAGTCCTTGCCGCCTCCCCTGGCCAGAGATTGACCAAACGGTGTACAAAGGGGAGAGCATGTCTAATTAAGGGTTTACTTAGGGTCTAGGATGTCTAGTTGAAGGGTTTAGGGTGTCTAATTAAGGGTTCAGGGTTTAGGGTGTCTAAGTAAGGGTTTAGGGTTTAGGGTGTTTATTATTTAAGGATTTAGGGTTTAGGGTTTAATCAAGGGTTTGGGGTGTCGGGTGTCTAATTAAGGGATACTTGCACGATCCAAGCCAGGGCCATGGATCGCTCCAAATCTAGGCGAAAAGAGAGGCAAACGTTGTTGCTCCCCGGCTGAGTCAATCGATTCAGGAGCCTGGACTGCAGGAGCTAGTCTACTCGGAATACAAAAACTCGGTTCCCCCAGATGACTATGTCGGGGATTTTAGCACTGAGCCCTGGAACCTACATGTTCGAAGATGAGGTCGGTTTAGGTTCTGGCATTTCCAAGTGACTGCGGGCGATGGATTTCAGGGCTGAGAGCTTGGGGCATGCCTGGCTCGCCGTTGTAGGGCCCACGCTTGTGGCGCAGGGTGGTTTCATTGTCGGAGGTCTAGCTTACAGCCTTAGGCTGCTAGGGAACATATCGAAGCCGGGCCAAACACGAATCTCAACGCCTACACCCAGAACCCCAACCCCAAGCCGAATGAAAATCCTCAAAGAACCCTTAAAGTCACCCTGTTTGTAACCCTATAATATAGAAGCGATAGCGATCGCCAATATTATTCCCTTGGTTTCCCGAATATGCTTGTACGAAACAACACTGGAACCCTGTTCTAATTCAATTCCCAAGGCCGCCAAACCCAAAACCCTGAACCCCTAAACCCTACATAAAGCCCTCTCAACAGGCTAAACCCTAAACCCTAAACCCCTACATTAAGCCCTCTCAACAGGCTAAACCCTAAACCCTAAACCCTAAACCCTAAACCCTAAACCCCTGAACCCTAAACCCCTACATTAAGCCCACTCAACAGGCCTACACTGGCGGCTCCCCCATGACCCGTGGCCGCCAGAC